CCACCGACTTCAAATTTCTCTTCTGTGAAATTGTGAATTAACCTTTAAATCATGTCACTGAAAAGGATTAGTCGTAGATAAAGTTTAATATTTCTAACCACTCTGTACTTTATTACGGTTTTCAAAAATAAAGCAAGTTCTAAACGAGTGTAAGCTAAAGCGAAAAAAAAAAGAGTTGTTTTTTCTTCCACTTCTCAGAAAAGTAAACAAAGTTCCCAAAAGACGTCAAAAGATGTGATGAAACGCATGCGTATTGGAAAACAGCTTTATTAATGTTTACTCAACCTTTCTGTTAAGTGATCTTTTCGTATTTTAGTAAAACAAATGATCACATCAAGCAGAGTATTTCGAAATATTCAAACTCATTTGTCTCTTTTTAAGTTGCCTGTTTCAGTCTGGGTCAGGAAGTTTGAGACCGTGACAGTTTCAACCAGTTTCCAGCTGCCAGCGATTGATTGCCACCAATATCTGCTTCAAAGTTTCGAGGAAAATATTACCTGTCGCGCGGCCGCCATCATGTCGCCCCTAGCTTACAGTCACGTATACGCCAAGAGGCAATGACATACTTTTAAATCGGCTGAAACTGAAAAATACCAATCCAAAGAATGAATTTAAATTCAACGCTTAATGTTTCTACTTCTCAGAAGCCGCGCATCACCGAAGAGAAGGAAGGTTTCATCGGCGATCTTGACGCACCTGCCAGAGGTAGCCTCATGATTCTAAATATCAGCCTCGCCATCTTGGGGAACTTTTTCATCGTTCTCACTTACTGCCGCAATTTTAAAATGCGAACTGTCACTAACACACTAGTGGTCAGCTTGTGCATCTCCGATATGCTATCTGCGGTAGCAGACACGCCATATTGGATTGCTTTTCTTGCTAAAAAAGACCTTTATAATTCCAATTTTGTTTTCTGTCGGCTGATGCTTTCGTTTGGAGACTTTTTCATAGTTGCAGCTCTTCTAAACATGTGTGGAATTGCGTTAGATCGGTTCATAACATTGGTCAAAGGACTTCGACGAAAAATCACGAGAAAACGAGCACGAATCATTGTTTCATGGCCGTGGTTGCAAGCACTTATTTCCGCAATTCCTTGGTGCTTGTCGGGAGAGAACTGCGAAGAAAGGTGTCATTCGTATTTTCCTCATATTTACGAACCTGAAATCACACCACGAACTATCAACATCATCTTTAAGATAAGTCATTTGGTCCTGCCGATTTTCAGTATCTACTATGTATTTCTTCGTATTCTAAACTCTGTGCGAAGTAGCCGCAAAGTTAATTTAGAGAACAGTTACATTTCCCGCAACAGCAGTGCTGAAAAGTTCGCCGTAGATGCATACAAGCGTTCATCGAAAACAGCTATCATCCTCTTTACTATGTTCCTGTTTTGTACATTGCCTTACTTAGGGGTCACCTTTTACTCTATTGTGACGGGAAAACCACTAACTGATTTCAAGGCTGGTTTCGCCATCTATTTCATTTTCTCTCTTAAACGGTCTCTTTTCCCTGCTATTTACATATTCAGAAACAGAATGATCTTGGGCTATCTACAAGAAACGTTTCGGTGTTCAATTTGTGGAGGAAGCTCTAAATCTGATAATGCGCGAGATTCATTCGTTTATACTCCCAATACCAACAGTTCCTGCTTTGTTCTGTTTTGTAGAAAATCATTTCGTTCGCGAGTACATCCTACTGTCTACGACGGAGATCACCAGCATTACCCCAAGCATCTTGATGTGTACTTTGTAGGAAATGTTAAAGACACTAAAGCAATCATTGAGGATCAGTTTGTTAATATTGTGGCAATGGAAAGAAAAGACAACGAATGTGAGTCGCGCGATGCCGACACTTAACGAGAACCTAACGAGTAATAAGAAAAAATATCGGCGACCTGAAAGTGTTAAAAAAACGATTGATGGACTTTGCGATCAAAAACTAACTTTTTGAAACATTAATTTATCAACTGTTAAAATTATTTATTTATCTACCATCGTCACCTCAGCGCGCAGTTTTAATTGAAAAGGATAGCTATCTTAACACTTACTTAGTACTATGTTGCAGAATTGTGCAAAATTTCGATTTAAATTCTTTGGGATTTTTATCTCTGTAATGACGACTTCTTGGTGATAACATACAGTAAAATCCGTTCGAATCAGTGACTGAGAAGACAAAGATTATCATTCACCTGTCAAACCAAAGCAGCTTTCTTTCTCTAAAAAAGGGTTTTTGGTTTTTCAACGCTGCTAATAATTTCCCTATAAACTATAAGTAATTTTCTGGTGATGGTTTTAAAGAACTTTCAGGTTTCTCATTTTATTCGGTCAATTTATGTGGGCTCTGTTCTCCTTTCTAAGAAGGAGCTATTTTCGTTTTGTCAATGGAATATAAAATCAACGTTCTGTCCGAAGAAATAGTTTAGCTCCTCTGGTTTAGCTTTTCAAATTTGCGACATCAACGGTTACTTTTTAATCGGTTATTCTGATCAAATATTCAAGGTACATGAGTCTCGAGAAAAGTTTTATTTTGATTTACAGCGGTAGCCTCCATTTGACTAAATGAAAGTAGTAGGTATCATGGTTAAATACGAATCTTCCGGCTTCATTAAAAAGCCCCTTAATTTATGCACCATTAAAGATTTGCATACATAATCACCGGAGTGAACTGAGCAGGTGCTTCTTTTGATCAGGTGTCACTGAAGATCCTTTCTTAGCTTACGCTCTTAGCGGTAAAATTTTATTTTTCTTTTCCACTAACTTGGATATCGATCACTTGTTCAGCATAAAAATTTTGACAGCTCAAACAATAAAACAATTTTTTCTAGGGCAAATAACTTTCTCCTTGAAACTGGTTACTCATATAACTATATTTACAAATTTGCTTTGTTATAAGAGGACAGGAAAAGTATCAGCTAAGCCGTCCCACAAGCGACAATGAACTGCCCAAAACGGACCAAAATTTTCCCAGTCAAAGCTCTTTCATTAATTCATTCAGAGAATTTATCGAGATTCAAGGGAAAAAGAGAAACCTCAACAGAATTTTATTTTTCTTAAACAATTTCTGAAGTCGTGGAACGAATCAAGATTTCACGAGAAGAAATTCCCCTGTTCAAATGGAAGACAATAGTGTTCTTTAAGGAGCAGTTTTGAACAGTGTTTGAGACGAGGAATTACGGATTGAAGGTGTTTCGATATTAATAGTTTTTCAGAGGCCATACCGATATTTTTCAATCGGTTTAAAAGTGATTTCATCCTTGTCGGATCGCTATAAAATTTTCACTGATGATTGACTATAGATTGAAAATTGTCAAAATGTAGGTTTCAGTAAAATCGATATTACTATGACAACAATAAACAAAGAACTTTGAAATTGATAAATGCCTATTTTGCGCGATCTAGACTAGCTACTGAAAATCCAACACTAAGAAGTCGAACTTAAAGTTTAGTGTTAAGCAAATAACCTCCGTAAGAAGTAAAAAATTCCGTATGTTTGAACCCGACTAA